AGCTGCGCTGCCAACACGCGCAGCCCCTGCTCGTGCAGCCCCACAGGGTCTGTGCCGTCCCCCAGCGAGCTCAGCGGGGAGCGCCTGACGTCCTGCGAGCGCACCCACCGCCGCGGATGGAGGCGACTTTCTACGGATTCATTCAGCAAGAAGAACGTAACCAGCGCTCTAAAAAGAAAACCCCTGGAGAAAGGCTTTGGGATCCGTCAGCGCGGCGAGCGCCAACACTCACTCTGCGAGGCTGGCGAGGTCTCGGACTCCTCGTCGTCCCATTGTGACTGGAAGTCGCTGGGCCGAAGCCGAACCCTCTGGGTGACAGGCTGCGGCTGCAGCGTCGGTAGGACTGACATGGACTGCGAGAGGGAGGTCTTCTGCAGGCCAGGTTTGGAAAACAGGGTTTTGAACTTTGATTTCTTCTTCTCCTTCTCAACTGACTCATCTTCGCTGTCAGCGGGGGAGTGGGTCGTGCTGGGAACGATCGCCGACGCCGTGTCGGAAAGGCCGCTGCTCCTCTTCCCCTTGAGCTTGTCTTTGAGCTTGCCAAAGGGAGAGCGAGACTTGTCCTTCATGGACAGATCAAACATACTGGCTGTCATGTTGCTCCTCATAAACTGGATGTCCACTTCGATCTCCCCTCTCTCCTTTTCCTTTTTCCCTGGTTTGGAGCGAAGCTTGTACCACCTGCGGGAACAAGGAGATTTCTTTTACAAACCTGTTTGTGAGAGGCACGGGTAATTTAGAACAGAGGGCGTTTGTGTTTTAAAAACCAAACAAGCCTACAGTGTAACAGATAAAAAAAGAAAAGCCTTTAATCTCACGACTACGTCATAATCACATGGCCTTAGGTGCTAAGGAAAACATCTCTTATTGTAAATAGAAAGTTATTGTAAAATTAGTTGTAAAACCCAGACCAGGAAGGGTTAAAAAAAGGAAGAAAAATAAAGGAAACGCAACATGAAATTCCTGTATTTCAGCTCAGCTACTCTCTTCTGTCCTTTTATCTGGCTTCCAGAAATTCAATTTGCAGAGGCCAGGAGTGCAAAGGGAACAGCCTCAGAGAGCTGACACTGGTACCAGAGCTCGCAGGCAGGTCCCACACCCTCATACCTTTCATTCCAGCCTCTTTCCAGTTGCTATCTTAATGCCTCTTAAGCTAAGGAACCCCTAATCAACAGGACCAAGCCCTACAGACTGTCTGGGGATTTCCACTCACCTCTCCCAGCTCGTGACTGGAGCGCACCAGGAAGGACATTCCGTGCAGACCGGACCTTACCCCTTGTCCCAAATGCGGCTCCCGAACACGGGCGCTGCAGATTCAGGGCTCGGGGTGTCCCGAACACAAACCCACCACCTGCAGGCCACTAGCACACGGGCTAGACGACCACCAAAAAAAAACCCCGAGCCACAGCAGGGCAGCGAGGACAATTACCAGCGCTGCGCCCCGACACTGCTTGGCCTCTCGCTGGAGCCGCAGCCTTCCCGGCTCCACAGAACCGGCAGGAAAGGCCGCCTGGAAAACGCCGGCTTCTTCCTCCTCACCAGCTGGTGGGGGAGAGCAAGGGAAGCGAACCCAGCGTGCAAACCTGCCTCTCCATCAGACCTGCACTTCCTTCCTCCGCAGGTGCGCTGCAAGCGGTGAAAAACGACGGGAAAAGGCAATTCGCCCCAGAGAAAATCCAAACCTAACGAGCGCCCAAGGAGACGAATCCAGCAACCTGCTACAGAGGGAAGGGAGCGCTCCAGCCCCCCGCTCCAGTCAGGTGGTCAGACCTGAAGCTGCAAGACACCAGCACCAGGGAAGGGGTTTTGGTTCTGCGAGTCCCCGAAGCTGCAGTCCCGCAGCGGCGGCAGCCAGGGAAGCACAAAACCTTTGCCTTTAGTGCAAGCCAGCACTGGGCACCGTTGTTCTAAACCCCGTGATTTCTAGGAGCATCCCGCGTTCGCAGGGTGCCACAACAATCCACCCCGCGTGCTCTCTGCCCGGGGAAAGAGCGGGCCCTGTTCCAACGGCCTCCAAAATACAAACTACGTGTTCAGCAAAAGGCAGCTCAGCACCGAAACACACCGAGAAGCACGCCCTGTGCCCACCTCAGAGGGGCCAAAAGTAAATAACGTACTGACACCACCCCCCCCCAAACTACAGAATGTAAAATCTTATTAAGTTTCATTTGTTATGTCAGTGTGCACCTGTCAATCAACACGCATTTAATTTCCAAATAAAACCAGCCCTTTGTGGCTGCACATCGCCACGGCAGCTAAGCAACAACAAAAGTAACAGGCTTCAAAGAGAAAATTGAGGGCTGGGGGACAACACTAACAACTAACAACTGGAAATATCACAAGTTTTTCCAGGAGCATCAAAGTTGTGTTTGGTTTTTGGTTTGGTTTTGGTTTTTTTTTCCCCTCAATTCTCCTTTGGCCCAGACACCCAGAAACCAGCCCGAGAGGACCCGAGGTGCTCGCCTCGCAGGGCTGCCTCCCTGAACTCTGCTGACTGACAGCACATCACGCTCCGCAGCGTAAACACCTTAGCGCTCGACACGGCCTTAACGACAACCACGTCCTAATTAAGGCTTCACAAGCGGCGAGGCCTTTGTCAAGAAACACGACGCAGATCCCAGCTTTGGCCAAGCCCGTGCTCATACCTGGATCTGCTCAGGTGAGCGAGAGGAAGGTGACTCACCGGCCACCTCAAGCCACATCACAGGGCTGCTGACTCCCAGTAAAACCCTCCCAGTAACCGCCCCCGGGATTCTGGCGCACAGTCCCGGTGTTTATGTTCAAAGGAACAAGCATGACACACAGCTGGCACTCGGCATTAAAGCCTCCCAGCTCCGTGTCCTGCTGACAACAGCGAAGCCAGCCCATATAACACTGAATTATCTGCTCTCACACACGCGTGGGCTCCGCTAAATACTTATTAAGAAAACCCCATAAACAGCTGGCTGTGCCCTGCGCTCGGTCTCTGCCAGAAGGAGAAGCATTTCAAACACAGTAAGTTCCTTGGGACAATCTGGCTGTCCCCAGCTCACACTGTTAACGCTCCCATGTAAATATTTAATAATCAAACCCAAGCACAAGGCAGGACTGGCCGAAAAAGCACCGGCCACATCCCCCCAGCCGGCCCGGCAGCCGCAGGTCTCTTCCAGGGGTCAGGCACCCCTGAGCTTTGTGAGGGGCTGACCCACACCAGGAGGGACCCTGCCCTGAGGGGTCACCCCATAGGTCCTCAAGAGGCTTGAGGGGGCCCCATGGGGCACAG